ACACTCTTCATGTATCTCTAGCACTTGTAATCAATCAAATTCATTGTATTCTAACATATTCTAACCCCAAACAACACTAGATAAGTCATTTATTGGTTCAACGCAATGTTTCCTAGTTCTTAGCTCTTTTGGGACCCAATTTCAACAAGTGTTTCTCCACACTTCTAAACACTCTTCATGAACCTCTAGCACATGTAATCAATCAAATTTATTTTATTCTATCATATTCTAACCCCAAACAACACTATACAAGCCATTTAATGCTTCAAAGCAATGGTTGTGGGTTCTTAGCCCATTTTGGACCAAATTTCAGCAAGTCTCTCTTCACACTTCTAAACACTCTTCATGCATCTCTAGCACTTGTAATCAATCAAATTCATTTTATTCTAAGATATTCTAACCCCAACCAACACTAGATAAGTCATTTAGTGGTTCTACGCAATGTTTCCGAGTTCTTAGCCCATTTGGGACACAATTTCAACAAGTCTTTCTCCACACTTCTAAAAACTCTTCATGCACCTATATCACTTGTAATCAATCAAATTTACTGTATTCTAACTTATTCTAACATCAAAAAAACACTAGACAAACCATTTAATGCTTCAAAGCAATTGCTGTGGGTTCTTAGCCCATTTTGGACCAAATTTTAACAAGTCTTTCTACACACTTTTTAACACTCTTCATGCATCTCTAGCACTTGTAATCAATCAAATTAATTGCATTTAACATATTATAACCCCAAACAACACTAGAGAAGCCATTTAATGCTTCAAAGGAATGGTTGTGGGTGCTTATCCTATTTTGGACCAATTTTCAGCAAGTCTTTCTTCACACTTCTACACACTCTTCATGCATCTCTAGCACTTGTAATTAATCAAATTTATTGTATTCTATCATATTCTAACCCCAAACTACACTAGATAAGTCATTTAGAAGTTCACCGCAATGTTTCCGATTTCTTAGCCCATTTAGGACCCAATTTCAACAAGTCTATCTCCACACTTCTAAACACTGTCCATGCACCTCTAGCACTTGTAATCAATAAAATTTATTGTATTCTAACATATTCTAACCCCAAACAGCAATAGACAAGCCATTTAATGCTTCAAAGCAATGGTTGTGCGTTCTTAGCCCATTTTGGACCAAATTTCAGCAAGTCCCTCTACAAAGTTCTAAACACTCTTCATGCATCTCTAACACTTGTAATCAATCAAATTTATTGTATTCTAACATATTCTAACCCAAAAGAACACTAGATAAGTCATTTAGTGGTTCAACGCATGTTTCTGAGTTCTCAACCCATTTCGGACCCAATTTCAACAAGTCTTTCTCTACACTTCTAAACATTATTCATGCATCTCTAGCACTTGTAATAAATCCAATTTATTGTATTGTAACATATTCTAACCCCAAACAACACTAGACAAGCCATTTAATGCTTCAAAGCAAATTTTTGTGGGTTCTTAGCCCATTTTGGACCAAATTTCAACAAGTGTCTCTACACACTTCTAAACACTCTTCATGCATCTCTAGCACTTGTAATCAATCAAATTTATTTTATTCTAACATATTCTAACCCCAAACAACACTATACAAGTCATTTAATGC